ACATGGTTTACGTTTAAGGTATCGGGCGAAGGAGGGATTCGCCGATGCCTTGGAAAGAGACGTGTACCATGGACCCACGCATTCAGTTTATCGCCGACTACTTGAGCGGTTGCTACACCAAGAGAGACCTGTGCATGCACTATGGCATCAGCCGACCCACTGGCGACAAGTGGATTGAGCGCTATCACAGCCGTGGCCCCGAGGGACTCCATGACCTTTCACGAAGACCCCATCGACACCCTGACACCACCGCACCCGAGATTGCCGAGCGCATCGTGCAGATGAAGCTCGCGCACCAGAGCTTCGGACCCAAGAAGGTCATGGATCGACTGCGCGCACTGGAGCCCGACAATCCCTGGCCAGCCGACAGCACCGCCGCCGACATCCTCAAGCGAAACGGCCTGGTCAGGCAAAGGCGCAAGCGCCGCCGCGTGCCGCCGGACCCGCACGCCCTGGTCACCTGCAGCGCCCCGGCGCAGAGCTGGAGCGCTGACTTCAAGGGCGACTTCCGACTCGGCGGCGGCCAACGCTGCTACCCCCTGACCATCACCGACAATCACAGCCGCTTTATCTTGCAGTGCCGCGCTCTGAGCCGCATGACCACGGCTGCCGTCAAGCCCTGGTTCGAGTGGGTGTTTCGGGAGTATGGCCTGCCCGAGACCCTGCGCACCGACAACGGCGCACCCTTTGCCTCGCTGGCCGCCGGTGGCCTCAGCCAACTCTCAAAGTGGTGGGTGCGCCTGGGTATTCGTCCGGAGCGCATTCGACCGGCCACGCCCAGTGAAAACGGTCGCCATGAACGCATGCATCGCTCGCTCAAGGAAGCGGTGATCAACCCGGCAGCCAGTAGCTTTGCGGCGCAGCAGAGGCGCTTCGACGCCTTTGTCGAGGAGTTCAACTGGCAGCGTTCTCACGAAGCGCTTGGGCGCCTGACGCCAGGCAGTGTGCATGAGGTCTCGCGGCGTCCCTATCGCGCCAAGCTGCCGGCGGTTGAGTACGACCGTGGTGTCACCGTGCGGCGGGTGCGGCGCACGGGTGAGTTCAAATGGCGAGGGCGGCTGATCTATCTCTCGGCGGTGCTGGCCAAGGAACCCATCGGTCTGGTTGCTTGTGACAACGACTGCTGGGAGATTCGCTACAGCTTCCATCTTCTGGGTGTCCTGAATGACCGTACCCATACGATTACCCATGCCCGACAGTGGCATCAACGTGAGTCAACCGTGTAAACCATGTTCCCGGTCTATTTTGTAAACGATGTTCGGCTTGCACAGGGAGACAAGGGCGCCAGCCCGCAGGCGAGCCGGTGGGGGGAATCCGGCGCCACGCAACCCCCACGCCCCTGGCCGGACATCAAACGCCAATACGCCCCCAAAACCCTGCAACACGCCCAGACCCTGCGCCAAAACCAAACCAACGCCGAAGGTCTTCTGTGGCACTACCTCCGCAACAAACAACTGGGCGGCTACAAATTTCGCCGCCAGCAACCCATCGGCCCCTACATCGCCGACTTCGCCTGCCTGCCGGAAAAGCTGCTCATCGAACTGGACGGCGGCCAACACGCGGACCCGAGCGCCCCCGACGAACAGCGAGACCGGTTTTTGCGGCAACAGGGCTACCGGGTCCTGCGCTTCTGGAACCACGAGGTCTTCGCCGACTGTTTCGGCGTGCTGGAACGGGCGTACGAGGCCCTGACAGACCCCCCACCGCTTCAGCCCGCGCCTGACGGCTTGGCTTCCGCGACTCCCCCTCAAGGGGGGAGTGATTGGAGCGTGGACCGCGCCCGCGTCTACCTCGGCAGCATGGACCCGGAGATTGCGGCGCTGTTTCCCGACCGTTTTGTCGATTCGGAGTTGGGGGAGATACCGGCGGGATGGGAGATTTCGAAGATTGGTGATGAAGTCAACGCTATGGGGGGTGCGACTCCTAGTACCAAGGAACCCGCCTTCTGGGACGAAGGCAAGCAGTATTGGGCCACCCCGAAGGACCTTGCGAAGTTACCGTCGCCAGTGTTGCTGGAAACGGAAAGGAAGATCACCGACGCGGGCGTCAAGAAGGTCAGCTCCGGCCTCCTCCCGATAGGCACGGTGCTCTTATCCTCGCGTGCTCCGATTGGCTACTTAGCTATTGCCGAGGTGCCGACTGCCGTAAACCAAGGCTTCATCGCCATAGTTTGCAAGAAACGTCTACCGAACGTATATGTGCTTTTCTGGTGCTCCAAAAACCTTGATAACATCAGGGGCATCTCTGGCGGCTCCACATTCGCAGAGATCAGCAAGAAGGCGTTCCGGCCCATTCCCGTGACGGTGCCCTCGGAGCAAGTCCTCGCAACCTACGAGGACGTCGTTCGCCCGCTCTACGGTCGAATCGTCGTGAACACGAAAGAATTGGAGTCGCTGGTCCGGACTCGTGACCTGTTTCTTCCCAAACTCATATCTGGCTCAATCCGTCTTCGTGAATCAGAGAAGGCAACGGAGGCTGCGACGTGAAAAAAGAAGTCCGCCAGCTTCGCGAGAAAGCGATCAATGCGTTGGTGCTCTCGATTGAGCACTTCAACCGGCCCTGGGATCGCGGCAGAACAGAAGCTGTGCTCATTATGCTCGACCACTCGTTCGAGATGCTTCTCAAAGCAGCGATTCGGCAGGGACAGGGGAAGATACGGAGGGTGGGCGAAAAGCAAACCATCGGATTTAATGCCTGTGTCCGAAAGGGTCTCACCGATGCAAGTGTAAAATTTCTGACCGATGAGCAAGCGCTCACCCTGCAAACAATTAATGGGCAGCGCGATGCAGCCCAACACTACCTGGTCGACATGTCGGAACATCAGTTGTACTTCTACGCCCAAGCGGGGGTGACTCTTTTCCGTGACATTCACGACGATGTTTTTGACGATCGCCTTGTACTTGAACTACCTGAGAGAGTTCTTCCGGTTTCTACAACCGCGCCCAAGGATTTATTCGCCCTGTTCGACAAAGAAGTCGGCGAAATAAAAGGACTTTTGGCACCTGGTACAAGAAGGAAGATGGATGCCATTGCAAAGGCGCGAAGCTTGGCCGTACTGGAAAGTTCGGTGAAAGGGGACTACGAGCAGCCGAGTGATCGCGAGTTGGAAAAAGTCTGCCGGCGTCTCTCCGATGGAGAGGCGTGGCCGTCCGTTTTCCCAGGGGTGGCTTCCATCAACATAACTACCGAACTCGATGGCCCCACCTTTAACCTCCGTTTGACGAAGAATGAAGGTACGCCGGTCCAACTTCTGAAAGAGGGCGAAGGAAACGGGGCAGTCGTCGCAATAAAGCGAGTGAACGAGTTGGGCTTCTACAGCCTTGGAGCGCAGGAATTGGCCAGGAAGTTAGGTCTAACGCCACCCAAATCCCGTGCCCTGGTCGACCATTTGGGCCTTCGTGACGACCCAGAGTGCTTCAAGGAATTTAGGATCGGCAGTGTGAGGCACCTTCGATATTCACCCAACGCAATCAAGAAAATGAAGGAAGCTTTGGAGGTCGAATCCATCGACAGAATCTGGGCTGAGCGTAGAGCAAAGCGAAGTGCAGCAGGGTGAGTAAATTTCGCGAGAGTGATTTTGAGGTAGCTGCTCTCGGTTGGTTAGAAAGTTCCGATTGTGGCGCCACCCACGACCGACTCAATTCCAATTGATTTCGAAGATGTTGCAGCCGAGAGTCCAGAAGACTGGTCGGCAACTGCTAAGGATTTCTTAGCAGTTCACAGTTGGCCGAAATGCAGTTATGCAATCAGACGCGCGGAAACCTTGCGTTCCGTCACTGTCGGAGCCACGTTTCTATATGGAAACGTGGGCCGCGGGTGCCGTGAGAATCCATCTGGACTACAATAGACCAATTCACCCTTCGGCATGCGGAGCCCTGCTTGTGAGCACCACCGGACCCCAACGTGTCTGGACCGTGGCGGAGGCGAAGGCGCGCCTCTCTGAAATCCTGCGGCTCGCCGAATCGGAGGGACCGCAGCGCATCGGCACCCGGCGGCCGTTCGTCGTCGTGCCCGCGGAGGCGTGGGACGCGAAAACGCCGCCCCGTAAGCCCTTTGGCCAGTGGCTCATAGAGAACGTACCACGCGGCACCAATCTTGAGGTGCCGGACAGGAGGTCCAATCGCCCGATTCCATTCGCTGACGAAGAAGACGAATGACCGGCTACCTTCTGGATACCAACGTAATCTCGGAGTTGACGCGGGACATTCCAGACCCCCGGGTTATAGACTTTCTGGCCGAGCGAGACGATGTATGGGTGTCGTCTATCCTCATACATGAAGTGGAATACGGAGTGCGATTGCTCACACAGGGAACCCGTCGCAATCGGCTGTCCACCATGTAGGCGGCCATCCTTTCGGGGTACGCCCATCACGTACTGCCATTGGACAGGGCAGGGGCCGAGTGGGCCGCCGAGTTTCGGGCAAACGCCCGGCGCTCTGGACACACGGTCGACATGGCCGACGCCTTGGTTGCCGGGATAGCTAGGGCCAATGCCCTCGCCGTAGCCACCCGCAACGTCGCCGATTTCGGGCGCCTCGACGTCGAGGTCTTCAATCCCTGGGAAGCCCCATGACCACCCTCACCGAAAGCGATGTCGAGCAGGCGGCCCTGGCTTGGTTGGACAACCTCGGCTGGAGTGTGGCCCACGGCCCCGATCTCGCGCCCGGCACGCCGGACGCTCAGCGCACCGATTACAGCGATGTCATGCTGGCGCAACGCCTCCGCGATGCCCTCGCCCGCCTCAACCCCGTCCTGCCACCCGATGCCCTGGACGACGCCTTCCGCAAGCTGACCCGTCCGCAAGGAACCACGCTGGAAGACCGCAACCGCACCTTCCACCGCATGACCGTGGACGGCGTGACGGTGGAATACCGCGACCCCGGCGGCGCGGTGCGCGGCGACCAAGCCCGCGTCATCGACTTCGACGACCCCGCCAACAACGACTGGCTGGCGGTCAACCAGTTCACCGTCGTCGAGAACAGCACGAGCGGCGGCCCGACATCGTGCTGTTCGTCAACGGGCTGCCGCTGGCGTCATCGAGCTGAAGAACCCGGCGACGAGAGACGCCACGATCTGGACCGCGTTCCAGCAGCTTGCAGACCTACAAGGCCGAGATCCCCTCGCTGTTCGCCTTCAACGCCGCGCTCGTCGTGTCGGACGGCTGGAGGCCCGCATCGGCACGCTGACGCCGGGCGGGAGTGGTTCAAGCCGTGGCGCACGATCTCGGGCGAGGCGCTGGCCGACCCGAACATGCCGCAGTTGCAGGTGCTGCTCGAGGGGTCTGCGACCCAGCGCCGGTTCCTGGCGCTGCTGCGCGACTTCATCGTGTTCGAGGACGACGGCAGCGGCGCGCTGGTCAAGAAGATGGCGGGCTACCACCAGTTCCACGCGGTGCAGCGGCGGTCGCCGAGACCCTGCGCGCGGCGCGTTGCAGCAGGAAGCGCAGCGGGTCGCCGAGACGCGCGGCCGCTACGAGTCCGGCCGCAAGCGGGCGGCGAGCCGGGCGACCGGCGCATCGGCGTCGTCTGGCACACCCAGGGCTCGGGCAAGAGCCTGACCATGGCCTTCTATGCCGGGCGCATCGTCCGCGAGCCGGCGATGGCAAACCCACCGTCGTCGTGCTGACCGACCGCAACGACCTCGACGACCAGCTGTTCGGCACCTTCTCGCGCTGCCAGGACCTGCTGCGCCAGCCGCCCGGTGCAGGCGCGAGCCGGGCCGACCTGCGCGCCAAGCTCGCGGTCGAGGCCGGCGGCGTGGTGTTCACCACCATCCAGAAGTTCTTCCCCGAGGAGAAGGGCGACCGGCACCCGCTGCTCTCCGACCGGCGCAACATCGTCGTCATCGCCGACGAGGCGCACCGCAGCCAGTACGACTTCATCGACGGCTATGCGCGCCACATGCGCGACGCCCTGCCCAACGCCTCGTTCATCGGCTTCACCGGCACGCCGATCGAGCTTGCCGACGCCAACACCCGCGCCGTGTTCGGCGACCACATCAGCGTCTACGACATCCAGCGCGCGGTCGAGGACGGGGCGACGGTGCCGATCTACTACGAGAGCCGCCTCGCCAGCTGGCGCTCGACGAGCGCGAGAAGCCCGACATCGACCCGGCTTCGAGGAGGCGACCGAGGGCGAGGAGATCGACCGCAAGGAGAAGCTCAAGACCAAGTGGGCGCAGCTCGAGGCGATCGTCGGCGCGGAGAAGCGCCTGACGCTCGTCGCCGGGACATCGTCGCGCACTTCGACAGCCGCACGAGGCCATGGACGGCAAGGCGATGGTCGTCTGCATGAGCCGGCGCATCTGCATCGACCTCTACCGCGAGCTCGTGCGCCTGCGCCCGGACTGGCACGACGACGACGACGGCGGGCGCCTGAAGGTGGTGATGACCGGCGCCGCTCCGACCCGCCGACTGGCAGCCGCACATCCGCAACAAGCCCGGCGCGAGGCGCTGGCGAAAGCGGTTCCGCGACCCCGGCGATCCGCTGCGCATGGTGCTGGTGCGCGACATGTGGCTCACCGGCTTCGACGCGCCGAGCCTGCACACGATGTACGTGGACAAGCCGATGCGCGGCCACGGGCTGATGCAGGCCATCGCGCGGGTCAACCGGGTGTTCCGGGACAAGCCGGGCGGCCTCGTCGTCGACTACCTGGGCTCGCCCACGAGCTCAAGCGGGCGCTGGCGACCTACACCGAGAGCGGCGGCACGGGACAGACCGCGCTGGACCAGGAGCAGGCGGTGGCCGTGATGCTGGAGAAGTACGAGATCTGCTGCGGCCTGTTCCACGGCTTCGACCGGGCCGCGTGGATCGACGGGCACCCGCGCGAACGGCTCGGCTCTGCTGCCGGCGGCGCAGGAGCACGTCCTGGCGCAGGAGAACGGCAAGGAGCGCTGCCTGAGGCCGTGCGGGAGCTCTCGCAGGCCTTCGCGCTGGCCGTGCCGCATCGAGGACGCGATGCGCATCCGCGACGACGTGGCGTTCTTTCAGGCCGTCCGGGTCGGCGCTGGCCAAGCGCGCGGCCACCGAGGCGCGGCCACAGGAAGACTCGATCACGCCGTGCGCCAGATCGTCTCGCGCGCGGTGGCGCCGGAGGGCGTGATGGACATCTTCGCCGCCGCCGGCCTGAGAAGCCCTGACATCTCGATCCTGTCCGAGGAGTTCCTGGCCGAGGTGCGCGGCATGCGCGCAGCGCAACCTCGCGGTCGAGCTGCTGCAGAAGCTGCTGAAGGGCGAGCTGGCCGCGCGGCGGCGCAAGAACGTCGTGCAGGCGCGGTCGTTCGCCGAGATGCTGGAGCAGACCATCCGCCGCTACCAGAACCGCGCCGTCGAGGCCGCGCAGGTGATCGAGGAGCTGATCGGGCTTGCCCGCGACTGCGCGAGGCCGGCGCCCGCGGCGAGACGCTCGGCCTGTCGGACGACGAGCTCGCCTTCTACGACGCGCTCGAGACCAACGACAGCGCGGTGCAGGTGCTCGGCGACGAGACGCTGCGCGACATCGCCCGCGAGCTGGTCGAGACCGTGCGGAGCAACGTCACCATCGACTGGACGTTGCGCGAGAACGTGCGTGCCAACCTGCGGCGGCTGGTCAAGCGTATCCTGCGTAAGCACGGCTACCCGCCGGACAAGCAGGAAAAGCGACGCAGACGGTGCTGGAGCAGGCGGAGGCGCTGTCGGCCGGCTGGGCGGCGTGAAGCAAGCCGCCGGGCGGGGGATGTCGTGCTGCGTCGGCTCCCCCTCACCCCAACCCCTCTCCCTCCAGGGGAGAGGGAGTAAAACCCGCTTCGGAGGGGAAGGTTAGCCCTCTGCTTCCCTCCCCCCTCCGAGGGGAGAGCTAGGGTGGGGGGCGTTTCCGCGGCACCCGGGTCCGCTCTGCTGCTCGCCTTGCGCCGGTTCTCCCCTTACCATTGAGGCCGAAGGTCGTTAAACGAGACCGGAAACATGGTTTACACGGTTGGCTCACGTTGATGCCTCTGTCGGGCGCCCCCGGTTGTGTCACGCCCACCTTGACGGTAAACTAGCGGCTCCTTTGACCCTTCCAACCCCAACCGGTAAGAAACTCCAATGACCCTGTGGCCCTTTTCTCCGTTGCTGTGGAACCCAGGCGGGAACGTTCAGAGCAGTGTGACGTGGGAGGCGACGTTTCCCGTCGTGGTGGTGGTCGTCATTGCGCTGGCCTTCGTTGCCTTGCTGGTGCGGCAGTGGCTCGACCTCGGGCCGCGCACGTCGAGGCGCGGGCGGTTGGGGCTGACGGCGTTGCGGTTCGGGGTGTACGCACTGGTCCTGGGCATGCTGCTCAACCCCGCCTTGCTGATCCAGAAGGTGATGCTGATTCTGCCACAGTTGGCGGTGCTGGTGGATACCTCCGGCAGCATGGGGTTGGCTACGGACGGCGAGGGCACGCGCCTGCAGGGGGTGGTCGATTATCTGCATGATGAACAGCGTTCGGCGTTAGACAAGCTTGCCGAGCGGTATGAGATCGCGCTGTACCAGTTCGACGACACGCTGCGGATGCTGCCGCGTGAGGGCTTGCCGCAGGTGCAACCGGGGCGGCAGCGGACGGACTTGATCGGCGCCGTTACCCAGGTGCTCGACGACAACCGCAGCGCGCCGCCGGTGGGCATCATGGTGCTCAGCGACGGCGTGCATCATGGCTCGGACACCGGCCTCGGCTACTTGCGCCGGGCGGGCGTGCCCGTGGTGGCTGTCGGCGTCGGTGAACTGGACACGTACCGGGACATCCGCGTCGTTGACGTGCAGGCGCCGTCGCTGACCTTTTTGCATTACCCGGCGGACGTCACCGCTACCATTCAGGTGTGGGGCTATGCCGAGGAAACGCTGGCGGTCGTCTTGCAGCGCGATGGCCGTGTCGTGGCCACCCAGCGCATGCTGGTCGCCTCGGACGCCTCCGAGCAGCAGATGACCTTCCCCCTGGAGCCGGACACGATCGGCGAATTTGCCTACACGATCAGCATCGCCCCGCGGCTCGGCGAAGCGCTCACCGACAACAACCGCGTTGACTTCCCGCTCTCCGTGGTGCGCGACAAAATCCGCGTGCTGCTGGTGTGCGGCAGCCCCACCTGGAATTACCGCTTCCTACGCCAAGCCCTCAAGCTCGACCCCAGCATCGACCTGCTGTCGTTCGTCATCCTGCGTACTGCCAACGACGTGGTGAACGTGCCCGAGAGCCAGCTCAGCCTCATCCCGTTTCCCACCGAGCGGCTGTTTACGCGGGAGTTGAGGAACTTCGACCTGATCATCTTCGAGAATTTTGATTCGCGGCGTTACTTCCCGGTGACCTATTTGCAGAACGTGGCGCGCTACGTCATGGACGGCGGCGCCTTTGCGATGGTCGGCGGGCCGCTGGCGTTTTCGCAGGGCGGTTACATGGGCACGCCCATCGAGGCCATCCTGCCGGTCTCCCTGCTCCGCGAACGCCGAGATTATCAGCAGGCCACGCACCAGATGATGCTGACCGAGGAAGGCCGGACGCACCCGATCACGCGGCTGTCGTCGGACGACCAGGAAAACGAGCGCATCTGGGAGGCTATGCCGGAGCTGGATGCCCTCAATCGTGTCGGTAAGGCAAAGCCCGGCGCCACCGTCCTGGCCGTGACCGGCGAATCCTCCGAGGATGGCTCTGGGGCGCCACTGCTGGCCATGCAACCCGTCGGCGAGGGCCGTACCCTGGCGCTGATGAGCGATTACACCTGGAAGTGGAATTTTCAGTTGGCCGGGCGCATGGACTCGAATCAGTACTACCTGCAGTTCATTCGCCAGATGGTGCGCTGGCTCATCCACGACCCCGTGCTGAAGCAGGTCCGCAGCATGGCCGACGCCCGCGAATTCCCCGTCGGCAGCGAAGTCACCGGCCTGTTCCAGGTGCTGCAGGACGATTACCGCCCCGCCACGGAGGCCGTGTTGCGCCCCACCTTGCGTACCCCGGCAGGACAGGAGATGGTTGTGCCGTACCGCCCGACCGGCAATCCGGGCGAATACCGCTACCGCTTCCGGGCCGAGGAGGAGGGGTTGTACGAGCTCGACGTTCAGGCCCAGATCAAGGACAAAACGCACGAGGCCAGCCGGTTGCTGCTGCCCGTCCGCCGTCCGGGCAACGAAAACCATCACGGCGCACCGAACCACGACCTGCTGCGCGACATCGCCGACCGCACGGACGGCACCTTCTTCACCCTGGCCGACCGTGCCAAGCCCACTCTTGCCAGCCTGGCGCAGTTCTTCGGCGGTGAGCCGGATTACCGCGTGCTGGAAGAGAGCCGGCTGCGCTTGCGCGAATCCCTGCCGTTGTTCCTAGTGCTCCTCACCGTTCTGGCCGTCGAGTGGTGGTGGCGGCGGCGCGTTGGGTTGCTGTAGGGCGCGTCTGGGTTTGAGGGAATTGCCAATGGCTCCCGTTCAAGCCGGAGGCGGGTTCTGCCGGGCCACATACAGAATAATGAAAATAGATTCCCAAGAGCGTCACGCCCGCGAAAGCGGGAGTCCAGGGTTTCTGGGGCCAAGAGCCGAGCCGGGATCACTGGATCCCGGGTCAAGCCCGGAATGACGCTTTGGTGCTGGATAGGCTCTCTTCATAGGATCTAGGAGATGATGACGCCCGAGGAAATTCAGGCTCTACGCGAGCATACGGAAATGACCCACGTGCAGATGGCGCAACTTTTTCGGGTGCGGCCGGCGGACGTGATCGCCTGGGAGAACGGGGAGTTGGAACCCAGCGACGAGGAGTTGGAGAAATTGCAACGATTGTCGGCTTCCGGCGCCAAGAAGGCCCGGTTCAAATTCAATTAGGTCACGGGCCGACATTCCTTTCCTTTTGAAGGACATTTTTGTTACGCTCGACACAAAAATGCCCCGACCCAGTGATGGTGTTTCCATGCCCCGAGCCGTCCGCAAGGCCGCCAAGCCTCTATCTGCGAGGTTTTGGGCCATGTCACCGTTTGTGGCATGGATATTGCTGATTTGTTGTTTGACTCATAGGCAAGGGCGGGCCGGTCGTTTGTACTTTGCCGGCTCAGGCATGGTAGACTCTGGCGGCGCTCGGACGGCCTTGGCCGGAGCGATCGTGTTGCAGGATCACCCCTCGGTGGGCGTTCCAAAGGAGATAACGTTGTGAAGAAGATCGAAGCGATTATCAAGCCGTTCAAATTTGGACGAGGTGAAGGAAAAGCTCAATGCTGCCGGCATTCAGGGCATGACCGTCAGCGAAGTACGCGGTTTTGGCCGCCAACGCGGGCATACAGAGCTCTACCGCGGCGCCGAATACGTCGTTGACTTTCTTCCCAAGAGCAAGCTGGAAATTATCGTTTCGGACCATCTCGAAGAAATGGTGATCAACACCATTACGGAAGCGGCGCAAACCGGCAACATCGGCGATGGCAAGGTCTTCGTGACCCCGGTGGAGGAGGTGATTCGCATCCGCACCGGTGAGCGCGGCGAAGAGGCCATCTGAGCGATGCCGGCTGGCGCTGAAGCCGTTGTCGCACGTTTAGCAAGGAGGCAATTGTTATGACACCGAGTGAAGTACTCAAAATGGCCGCGGACAAGGGGGCCAAGGTCTTTGATCTGCGTTTTCTCGATTTTCCGGGCTTGTGGCAGCACATGACCCATCCCATGAGCGAGCTCACCGAGGACGCGTTCAACGAGGGCTTTGGTTTCGACGGCTCCAGCATCCGCGGCTGGCAGGCGATCAACGCCAGCGACATGCTGGTGATGCCCGATCCCACCACGGCGCGCATGGACCCGTTCATGAAAGAGCCCACCCTGGTGATGATCTGCGACATCGTGGACCCGCTGACCCACGAGCACTACACCCGCGACCCCCGCAACATCGCCAAGAAGGCTGAGGCCTACGTGAAGGCCGGCGGTCTTGCGGATACGGCCTACGTGGGGCCGGAAGCGGAGTTTTTCATCCTGGATGACATCCGCTACGACAACAACGAACATTCGGCGTACTACTTCGTGGATTCGGTGGAAGGGGAGTGGAACACCGGGCGCGTCGAGGGGCCCAACCTGGGCTACAAGCCGCGCTACAAGGAAGGCTACTTCCCCGTGCCGCCCTCGGACAGCATGCACGACATCCGCACCGAGATGATCCTGATCATGGAGAAGCTGGGCATCCACGTCGAGACGCATCACCACGAGGTCGCCACCGCCGGCCAGGCCGAGATCGACATGCGGTTCAACTCCCTGGTGGCCATGGCCGACAACCTCATGTGGTACAAGTACATCATCAAGAACGTGGCGCGGCGCTACAACAAGACGGTCACGTTCATGCCCAAGCCGCTATTCAACGACAACGGCAGCGGCATGCACGTGCACCAGAGCCTGTGGAAGGACGGTCAGCCGTTGTTCGCCGGCGACGGCTATGCCGGGGTCAGCCAGATGTGCCTCAACTACATCGGCGGCATCCTCAAGCACGCTCCGGCGTTGTGCGCCTTCGTGGCGCCAACTACCAACTCATACAAGCGCCTGGTGCCGGGCTTCGAGGCGCCGGTCAATCTGGCGTATTCCAGCCGTAACCGCAGCGCTGCGGTGCGCATCCCCATGTACTCGTCGAGCCCGAAGGCGAAACGCATCGAGGTGCGCTTCCCCGATCCGTCCTGCAACGGCTACCTGGCCTTTTCCGCCATGCTGATGGCGGGCCTGGACGGCATCGAAAACCGCATCGACCCCGGCGAGCCGCTGGACAAGGACATCTACGCCCTCACGCCTGCGGAACTCAGCAAGGTTCCCTCCGTGCCGGGTTCGCTCGAAGGCGCCCTCGACGCTCTGGAACAGGATCACGACTTCCTGCTCAAGGGCGACGTGTTCACCGCCGATGCCATCGACACGTGGCTCGATTACAAACGCTCGAATGAAGTGAATGAGGTCCGCCTGCGGCCGCATCCGTTCGAGTTCAAGCTGTACTTCGATATCTAGAGTACGTTTGGATCAAGACGGCTTGTAATTCATTTCCCCCTCACCCCAACCCTCTCCCTCCAGGGGAAAGGGAGTGAAACCTCTTCGTGGCGCTGGTTCCCTCTCTCTTGCGGAGGAAGGCCAGTTCCCTGATCCCCTCCCCACTTGAGGGGGAGGGTTAGGGTGGGGGGTTGCTTCCCTCTTTCTTGCCGGCGAAATGCCGCAGCAGGAATGCCGCATCGGCGGGAGAGAGGTCGAACCGCAGACTGGCTTCATCCACCACCTTCACCGAGAAGGTTCCCTGTTCGGAGATCCACCGCACCGCCCGCCGCAGGTTTTCCTTTTCCGGCAGTATTGTTTCACCCATAATCATCCTTTCCATGACATGGCCGCCATCTGCAGGCCGCCCGCTCCGCTCTGATTGAACCCGACGTGCTGGCACGGAGACCCCACCAACCATGACCGCAGCCCTGCAGGGCATCCGGGTGCTGGACCTTTCGCGCTACGTGGCCGGCGCCTATTGCGCCAAGTTGCTGGCGGCGTTCGGGGCCGAGGTGGTCAAGGTCGAGCCGCCCGGCACGGGCGACCCGGCGCGCGCCATGGGGCCGTTTCTGCATGACCGGCCCAACCCGGAAACGAGCGCGCTGTTCCTCTACCTCAATACCGGCAAGCAGGGTCTGACGCTCAATCTCAAGCACCCGCAGGGCCGGGACATTCTCAAGGCACTGGTTCGGGACACCGACGTGTTGGTTGAAAATTTCACGCCGCGCGTGATGCCGGCGCTCGGTTTAGATTACGCCACCCTGAGCGCCGTCAACCCGCGCTTGATCATGGTGTCCATCAGCAGCTTCGGGCAGAGCGGACCGTATCGCGACTACAAGGCCAATGACATGATCTCGTACGCCTTGGGGGGCTACATGTATCTCAACGGCCACCCGCAACGCCAGCCCCTGAGCGGGGGCGGCCATCAGCCAGCCTACCAGGGCGGCTTGCATGGCTACAGCGGCGCCATGGCAGCGCTCATGGCGCGGGAACAGAGTGGGCAGGGCCAGCACGTGGACATCTCGATCCAGGAGTGTATGGCCTCCATTCACCAGTTTACCATCAACCGCTACGTGTACGTCGGCCGCATTCAAAAACGCCTTGGCAACCGCTATCAACGTGCCCACCCGATTACCATCTATCCCTGCAAGGACGGCCTGATCTCCCTGGCCGTCAGCACGCAGGAGCAATACGAACGGTTCCTGGCCCTGACCGGCCTGACGGAATTGCTGGATGACGCGCGGTTTGCCACGCCGTTTGCGTGTTCCGAGCATGCCGCGTCGTTTGACGAGTGCCTTGCTCCCTGGTTGCAGGCGCACGGCAAGCACGACATCGTGCATCGCTGCCAGGAAAATCGTATCCCGGCGGCTTTTGTCAACGACGTTGCCGAGGTGATGGACGATCCGCAGTACCAGTTCCGCGGCTTCTGGCACGACTTGGATCACCCCGTCGCCGGTCGTCAGACATACGCCGGCTTTCCCTTTCACATGACCGCAACGCCCCCGGTGCTGCAGCGGGCCTGTCTGTTGGGCGAACATACCCAGGACATCTTGACCGCACGTCTGGGCTGCAGCCACACTCAACTGGCCGACTGGCGGGCGCAGGGGGTCATTTAGGGTAAGGAAAGGGGCCTGCCATGAACGGTGCGCTGCGCGGTGTGCGTATGATCGACTTGACCCGGGTATGGGCCGGTCCCCATGCTACCCGGATGCTGGCCGACATGGGGGCCGAAGTGATCCACGTCACGGGTCGTAAGCTCGTCGGCCCCCTCACCGTTACCCAGGAGACGGCCCGTATTCTGGGGGTCTATCCCGACGACGAGCCGGGCGAGCGGCATTGGAACCGCAACTCGCAGACCAATGACTTGATGCGCAACAAGTACGACATCACGCTGGAGCTGGATACCCCCGAGGGCCTGTCGCTGCTGCGCCGCCTCATCGCCATCAGCGACGTGGTGATCGAGAACTACAGCCCGCGTGTCATGCCCAAGTTCGGCCTGGATTATCCCCGCCTGCAGGAATTGAACCCCAGAATCATCCTGTGCTCGATGCCGGGCTACGGTTCTCAGGGACCCTACCGCAGCTTCATCTCCTACGGTACGAACGTGGACCCGGCAGCGGGGCTTGCCAGTCTGATGGGCTACCCCGGTGAGGCGCCGTACATGAGCGGCAATGCCTACCCGGATCCGGTGGCCGGCCTGTTCGCCGTCGGCGCCATCCTGACGGCGCTGTATCACCAGCGGCGCACCGGCCAGGGGCAGTACATCGACCTCTCCCAAGCCGAGGCGACTACCGCCCTGTTGGGTGAAGTTTCGCTCGGCGCCCGGCTGAACGGCGTCGTCCCGCCCCGCATGGGGAACCGTCACCCGCGCCAGGCGCCGCACGGGTGCTATCCCTGTCGCGGCGACGACACCTGGGTGGCCATTGCCGTGCGCAGCGACGACGAATGGCGCGCCTTTACGCACGTCCTGGGGCAGCCGACCTGGGGCGCTGAGGCTCGTTTCGCCACGTTGTCCGGGCGTCTGCAATATCACGATGAGTTGGACCGTCATATTGCCGACTGGACGTCGCATCACCATGCCTACCACGTGATGCACACCCTGCAAAACGCCGGTGTGCCCGCCGGCGCGGTCGCCAACGCCAAGGAACTGGTCAACGATCCGCACTTATGCGCCCGCGATTTCTTCTGGGACATCGATCATCCCGAAGCGGGCACGCGGCGATACGCTGGCCAGCCTGTGCGGTTGTCGGCGACCCCGGCACGGCTCTACCGACCGGCGCCTTGTCTGGGGCAGCACAATGACCAGGTGCTGGGCGGATTGCTTGGGCTATCAGACGACGAACTCGCCGCCCTGCGCGACAAAGGCGTGATTGGCGATCGCCCTTTGCCGCGCAATGGATGACCCGTCGCCGGTTTGGTTCATGTTCGCTCTGGGCGAGCGCGCTTCAGGGTGGATGTTTCAAGGAGGGTAAGACAGTGATCGAGATACGACCCATGTCGATTCATATCGGTGCGGAAATTCACGGTGTCGATCTGACTCAACCGCTGGCGCCGGAAACGGTACAGGAGATTCGCACTGCCTTGTTGCAATGGAAGGTGGTGTTTTTTCGTGACCAACACCTCAATCATCAGCAGCAGACCGACTTTGCCCGGCAATTCGGCCAGCTGACTCCCGGACACGTGGTGTTCGGCAACGACGCCACCTATCCTGCCATTTACTCGGTGGCCAAACACCGCATGGCCAATCGCCACCAACGCCAAGGGGCGATGAAGCCCTGGACGGGTTGGCACACCGACATCACCGCTGCCATTAACCCGCCGGCCGCCTCCATTTTGCGTGGCGAGATCGTCCCGCCCTACGGCGGCGACACGCAATGGACTAATCTGGTGGTCGCCTATGAAAACCTGTCGTCCACGTTGCAGGGCTTTATCGATGGGTTGCGCTGCGTGCACCGCTATGCGGTCCCACAAACCGCCCAAAATACTGAGGAATACGATGAGCTGGTGCGCCGCCGCACGCTGGTTAGCGAGCACCCGCTGGTGCGGGTTCATCCCGAAACGGGTGAACGTGCTCTGTATTGCAGCCCGTCGTTTCTCAAGTCAATCGTTGGCCTGACGCCGCGCGAGAGCGAGCAAATGCTGGAGCTCCTGTGGGAACACGCCATCCGGCCGGAATTCACGGTGCGCTTCAAGTGGGAACCGGGTAGCCTGGCGTTTTGGGACAATCGCTCGACCGCCCATCTCGCTCCGCGGGATATCTTTGCGACCGATTTCGATCGACAGTTCTACCGCATCACCCTCATGGGTGACATCCCGGTGGGGATTGACGGTAAGGAGTCCGTCTCGGTCGCCGGCGACCCAATTACGCCTCTGTGAGTGGTGCCCCCGCCACAGCCATTGCACCGCGATTGGACGCAAAAAAGCCCCGGAGGCGGAATGCCTCCGGGGCTAAGCGGTGGGCTGCTTGGACTAGCCGAGGCACCTGAGTGCCGACGCCTATAAGCGCCCAAGCCGATGCCTCAAGCCTCAGCCACCTCGCTGATCGTATGTTGCATTAGATCACCTCCTTTCTTGCGTGCGGCAAGGATAGCATCCCGCGACGTTATGTCAAGCGACATTTGACGGCTTGTGGGTCACCTCACAAGTGGGTTCAGAGGCTCGGGGTCTCGCCATTGACTCAACCTCCAATCGCGTCTAGGATGGCGCCTCGCTTACGATCAGCCCGGGCAGAGTCGGCTCTGCCCGTTTTTATGTATCAAACGGAGGACTTACTGATGCCAGTTGAAGCTCCCTCGGCGGAAAAGCTCCTCGACATGTATGCGCGCATGTGGTGCATACGCCTGTTCGAGGAACAAGCGGAATACCAGTCCAGCCAGGGTAAGGTGATGGGAGCCCTGCATACCTACATCGGTGAAGAAGGCGTGGCGGTGCCCGTCTGTGCGCACCTGCAGGACACGGATTACATCACCAGCACCCACCGAGGCCACGGCCACTGCATTGCCAAAGGCGCCGATATCAGTCGCATGATGGCCGAGCTCTTTGGCCGCTCCACCGGTTATTGCAAGGGTAAGGGCGGCTCCATGCACATCGCCGATTTCAAGGTCGGCATGCTGGGGGCGAACGGCATCGTGGCCGGGGGGGTTCGGGATCGCCACCGGCGCCGGTCTGGCGGCCCAGTTGCGCGGCAACGGTCAGGTGGCGGTGTGCTTTTTCGGCGACGGGGCGGCCAATCGCGGCCCGTTTCACGAAAACATCAACATCGGCGCCGTATGGAAGCTGCCGGTGGTGTACGTGTGCGAGAACAACCAGTTCGCGCAGTGGACGCCGCAGAAGGACGTGACGCTGGTGACCGACATCGCCAACATGTCGCCGGCCTACGGTATCCCGGGCGTGCAGGTGGACGGTATGGACCCCCTGGCCGTGTACGAGGCGGCCGGCGAAGCGATCGCGCGCGCGCGCCGGGGCGAAGGGCCGACCCTGCTGGAGTGTAAGACCTACCGCTTTCACGGTCACAACTTCGGCGACCCGCAGCAGTACCGCACGCGAGAGGAAATTGCCGAGTGGTCCGACAACCGCGACCCCGTCAAGCAAATGGCGGCGCACCTGCGCGACGCCGGCATCCTGAGTGACGAGCAGGACGCCGACATCCAGAATACGGTGCAGGAAGAGATCACCGCAGCGGTGCGCTTTGCTGAGAGCAGCCCGTATCCAACACCGGACGAACTGTACAAAGACGTCTATTCCTACGATATCGGTTGACGACATCCGGCCTGCGGTCGGGACCTGGAAGGGGAGCAAGCTGATGCCGAAAAAGAGCATGCGCGACGCGTTGCGCGAGGCACTTCACGAAGAAATGGAACGGGATGACAGCATTATCGTGCTGGGTGAGGACGTGATTACCCACGGCGGTCCGTACGCCGTGACGCGGGGTCTTGACGAGAAATTTCCCGGTCGCATTCGCCAGACGCCGATTTCCGAGGCGGGCATTGTCGGCACTGCCCTCGGCGCGGCGCTGTGCGGCATGCGCCCGGTGGCGGAAGTCATGTACGTCGATTTTGCCACCTGCGCCATGGACGAGGTGGTGAATCAGATGGCCAAGGTGCGCTACATGTTCGGCGGCCAGACCGACGTGCCCGTGGTGCTGCGTTTGCCGTCGGGCTCGGCGCGGCTGCTGGCGGCCCAGCATTCGCAATGCCTGGAGGCGTGGTTCCTGCACGTGCCCGGCCTGCAGGTGGTGGTGCCGTCGACGGCGTACGACGCCAAGGGCCTGATGAAGACCGCCCTGCGCGGCAAGGACCCGGTGCTGTTCATGGAGTACAAACGGCTGTACACCAACGAGTGCGAGGTACCGGACGAGGACTACGCGATACCGTTCGGGCAGGCGGACGTAAAGCGGGAAGGAGGCGACGTGACCATCGTGGCCACCGGCCCCATGGTGCCGAAGGCGCTGGAGGCGGCCGATCTTCTGTCGCCGGAAGGCATTGAGGTCGAGGTGGTGGATACCCGCACGCTGGTGCCGTTTGACAAGGCGACGGTGTTCGCTTCGGTCGAAAAGACCAACCGGGTGATCGTGACCGACGAGGAGGTGAAGCGCGGCGGCACCAGTGCCGAGATCGCCTCGCTGATCGCCGAGGAGTGTTTCGACGCCCTGGACGCGCCGGTGAAGCGCGTGGCGGCGGCGGAAGTGCCGATGCCGTTCAGCCCGGAACTGGAAAAGCTGGTGGTGCCCAAGACCGAGCATCTGGTCGCCGCGGCCCGCGAACTCGTCGGCTAGAGGAGACGGGTGGATGGCCATCACATTCGGTATGCCCAGCCTCGGGCATACGATGGAAAAAGGCAAGATCATTGAGTGGTTGAAGCAGGAAGGCGACGCCGTCGCTAAGGGCGAGCCGCTGGTGGTGATTGAAACCGATAAGGTAATCACCGAGGTCGAGTCGCCTGTCGACGGCGTGGTATTGAAGATCGCTGTCGCCGCTGAGGAAGAACGGCCGATCGGCTCGCCGCTGGTATTGTTGGGTTCGGCTGGCGAGCAGCTCAGTGAGGCGGATATTCAGCAGTTGCTCGGTGATGATACTGCAGCGGCGTCGGCTGCTCCGCCAGTTCCGGCGCCCGTACCCACTCCGGCTGCACCGCCTAGGGCCGCAGCGGCCGGCGAGCGGGTGAAAATATCCCCGATCGCCCGCAAGCTGTGCGACGAGTTGGGTATCGACCCGGCTACCGTGCCCGGCACCGGACCGGGCGGGCGCATCACTCGCGAGGACGTTGAAAAAGCTGTGCAAGCCGCCCCGGCGCCAGCCGCTGCCGAGCGCGTCAAGATTTCCCCGGTGGCGCGCAAGCTATGCGAGGAGATGGGCGTCGATCCGGCCAGTGTGACGGGCACCGGCCCGGGCGGCAGGATTACCCGTGACGATGTGCTGAAGGCCGCCGAGGCGGCAAAGGCGGCGCCTGTTCCGGCCGCCGCGTCGGCGGCCGCTGGCAGTACCGTGCCGCTGCGTGGCATACGCGGGCGCGTTGCCGAGCGCATGTTCCAGAGTTGGAACACCATCCCGCGGGTCACCGAGGTCATGCTCGTCGACATGAATGCCACGGTGAGTTTCCGCCAAGCCATGCTGGCGCAGTGGGAGCAGCAGTATGGGGTTCGCATCTCGCTGAACGACCTGATTACCAAGGCGGTTGCCGAGGCCCTGCGCCGCCATCCCAGGCTGAACGCCACCCTCGTGGACCAGGAAGTGCACCTGCACGAGAATGTCAATGTCGGTGTCGCCGTCAACCTCGACGAGGGGCTCATCGTGCCGGTGATTGCCGACGCCGACCGCAAGGACCTCGGTCAGATCGCCCGCGAAAGCCGCGAGTTGGCCGAGAAGGCCCGCGCCGTGCCGATGCGCCTGTCGCCCGACGAGGTCAACAACGGCACCTTCACCATTACCAATCTGGGCACCACCGGCATCGATCTCTTCACGCCCATCATCAATCCGCCGCAAGTCGCCATTCTGGGGGTGGGCATGGTGCAACGCCGGCCCGTGGTCGTCGGGGACGCCTTGGCGATTCGCCCCTCGGTTTACCTCTGCCTGGTGTTCGATCACCGCGCCGTGGACGGCGTGCCGGCGGCCTATTTCTTGCAAGAGTTGCAACGCCTGCTCGAAAAACCCCAGGAATTCGCGCTCTGAGTCGGCGACGGGGGCTCGTATAACCGAGTCCCCTCAGCCGGCGTTCCCCTGCATGCGCTCGTAATCGCGCACAGCCTCCAGCACCTTATGGTTGGCCTTGGGGAGCGGGTAGGTGCCGATTTCTTGCAGACTCACCCAGCGTACCTCGTCGCTTGTCAGCGCCTTGGCCTCGCCGCTGCGCCATTCGCAGCGATAGGCGGTCAGGGTGATCTTGAAGTGGGTGTAGCCGTGCTCGACCCGGCAATACGGGAAGCCGACACGGATGCGCAGGCCGGTCTTCGCGTGGACTTCGCGGCGCAGCGTCGTGGCGGGGGCTTCGCCGGGCTTTGACTTGCCGCCCGGAAATACCCACAGCCCGCCGAGCATCTGATCCTGCCGCCGCCGCGCCAGCAGAAATTTTTCGTCCTTCCAGACGATCCCGGCCACGATCTGGTGATGCGGCACCGGCTTGCGGGCGCTTTTCACCGGTAACTCGGCGGTGCGTCCGGTTTGGAAGGCCACGCAGTCCGCCTGCAGCGGGCAGGCGTTGCAGCGCGGCGCCTGCGGGCGGCAAACCAGCGCGCCGACTTCCATCATTGCCTGATTGAACGCCGACGGCGGTGCCGCGGCGATGAAGGGCGTCAAGCGGGTCTGCAACTCGGTGCGCAGGCGTGGCTGGCGGATGTCAGTCGCGATGCCCCAAAACCGGCAGAATACCCGCAGGACGTTGCCGTCGACCACTGGCACCGGATACCCGAACGCGATGCTGCCGACGGCTGCTGTCGTGTAGGGGCCAAAACCAGGCAGGCGGCGCAGCGCCTCGATGTCTCCGGGCAACTCGCCGTCGTGCTGCGCCACGAGCAGTTGGGCGGTCTTATGCAGGTTGCGGGCGCGCGAGTAATAACCCAGCCCCTCCCACAGCTTGAGCACCGCCTGCTGGTCCGCCGCCGCCAAGGCCGGCACGTCCGGGAAGGCCCGGATGAAGCGCTCGAAATAGGGGATGACGGTGTCCACCTGGGTTTGCTGCAGCATCACCTCGCTGAGCCATACGTAGTAAGGCCGGCAGTCGTCCCGCCATGGCAGGCGGCGTTGGTGTCGCTCGAACCAGTCGAGCAACCGTGTCACCCAATCCTTCATGGCACTCTATTCCTGATTTCCGACATGGTTCTCAACGGGCAGGGGCTTTGCACAAAAGGTCAGGCGTGTTCGCGCCGTTGCGGTCAGGATCCGTCTATGTTGGACGAGCTTCCGGTGGGTTCATGGCGAGGGTGCGTCTGCGGCCTAAATTTGTTCCAGGATGACGTCAATTCGTCCCTCGTTCCTTGCGACGCGCTCGCTGATGCTGAGCTTGCGGAGTTCGGAGACTTCCTTGGTGAGGCGGTCGATACGCTTGTCCATCGCGTTAAAGCGTTGGTCGACAGCGTCAAAGCGTTGATTGATGTATCTGTCTTGGGCATCAAAACGCTGGCTGATGAGTTCGTCTTGGGCGTCCAGGCGTTGATCGACGATGGTAACCAGTGCGACGGAAGCGACGATGATGGTCGCGATGGTGATGAGGGTGTCGCTGTGTTTCTCGATCCAGTTGGGCATGGAACAGAGCCCCCAAAGTCGGCCACAGGATAGGAGGGAGTGTATCACAGTTGGACTGGGGCGGGGAGCGCCGACGTCTCAACCTCAACACAGGCCAGCGAGCCCCTGCTATACTGGTCAAATTCGATTGGCAAACCAACATGTTACGGAGAGAAAGGAACGGACATGCCACGCTTCAACCCGGCCGATCTGAGGACAGTCGGCTACACGCTTTTCGCCGCCCTCGGATGTCGGCCCGAGGACGCCCGGGCGGTCGTCGACCACTTGGTCGAGTCCAACCTGTTCGGCCACGACTCGCACGGCGCCATTCGGTTTTACGAATACGCCCAGGCGATTCGCGAGGGCCGCTTTCAGCCGCAGGCAGTGCCCAAGGTGGTGCGCGACAAGCCGTGCCTGGCGGTGGTTGACGCTGGCGGCGCCATGGGGCAGGTGGGCGCCACCTTTGCCACGCGGCTGGCCATCGACAAGGCCCGGCAACACGGCGTCGGGGCGGTATCGTTGCGCAACACCAGCCACATCGGCCGGGTCGGTGCGTACCCGCTCATGGTGGCGCGCGAGGGGTTGATTGGGCAGATTTTCGTCAACGCCGGGCACATGGGCCATCAGGCCGCCCCGTTTGGCGGCATCGACGGCAGGCTGAGCACCAATCCCGATTGCCTTTGCGGCCCCGAGGCGCGCCGCCGAGCCGCTGCTCGTGGACATGACGACGTCGGTGGTTGCGGAGGGCAAAATCCGCGTGGCGCTGAACAAGGGCGATCAGGTACCCGAGGGCTGGATCATCGATTCGCAGGGCAATCCCACCACCGACCCGAAGGAATTCAAGGGCGACCCGCCAGGGGCCATGCTGCCGATGGGCGGCGTCGTGGCTCACAAGGGCTACGCCCTGAGCCTCATGGTCGAGATTCTCGGCGGTGCCCTGAGCGGCCTAGGATGCGCCAGCGGCGCGCCCGTCATGACCAGCAACGGCGTGTTCCTGCAGGTCTACGACATCGAGCATTTTGTCGACATGGAAGATTACTACCGCGAGGTGGAAGCGCTGACCGCGCACGTGAAGTCAAGCCGCCCGGCGCCGGGCTTTAGCGAGATCATGCTGCCGGGCGAGCCGGAATTCCGCAGCGCCGAGCGCCGTTCGCGCGACGGCATCGAGGTGGACGACACCACGTGGTCGCGCATTTGCCAGGAGGCCAAGGCGGTCAACGTGGACGTGGGTCAGTGGGAGGCCCTGCTGACCGCCTAGGAGTCGGAGGGGAGTCAGCGCACTCAGCTCGGTAGCGGCGCGGCCACCGCCCGTTGTGCCAGCGGCTGCGGATACCAGTGATCCTCGTAATCGCTCCACAGGCCGCGCAGGTGCGGCATGACGTCCTGGGCAAAGCGCTGGGTGTTTTCGCGTGTCAGTTCGTCGCCCATGTTGCCGATCTGGCATAGCAGCATGGCATTGCCGACGCGCATGTTGGTGAACGCCTCGCGCAGAGTGTCGCGTACGGTGGCGGCGCTGCCGGCCACTACGTAGCCGTGTTCAATGAAGTCCTTCCATTTCAACTGCTGGCGTGCCGCCGAGGCGATACCGCCGACTTGCGGGGTGAATCCCGCCCGCATGGTGGCCATGGTGCGATAGCCTGGCGCGTCGGCGAAACCGGGGTGGACGTGCAGGCAGCGGTTGAAGAAGTAATCGATGTGCGGTGCGTACAACCGCTCGGCTTCCTGATCGCTGTCGGCCACGCAGACGATCTGCGCGTAACCGGCGCGATAGGGGTTGTCGTCCTTGCCGAGGGCCGCGGCCCTCTCCCAATAGCCGTCCATCACCTTCTGCGCCCGCTTGTAGCCGTAATAGCTGAGGTTGGAGTAGTTGTAGTCGTGCTGCAGGCAGAAGTCCCAGGTTTCGACGCTGCCGCCGCCGGGAATCCAGATGGGCGGGTGCGGTTGCTGCAAGGGCCGCGGCCAGATGTTCACGTAGCGCAACTGGGTGTACTTGCCGTTGAAGCTGAACGGTTCCGGGCGCGACCACGCCTGGATGATCAGCCGGTGCGCCTCGTCGTACTTGTCGCGTAGCGTGGCGGGCGGCTCGCCGTAGCAGAAATTGGTGTCCATCGACGTGCCGACCGGAAAGCCGGCGATGAGCCTGCCGCCGCTCATTACGTCGAGCATGGCAAACTCCTCGGCCACACGAATCGTGGGTTGTACAGGGCGATGCTGTTACCCATCACCACCAGCGCCGCCTTCGACGTGCGGCGCGCCAACGCCGCCCCCATGATGTTGGGCGACGGCATGAGGCCGTAGGCGTTCTGGTGATGTTCGTTCACGCAGATGCCGTCGAACCCGAGGCCGTCGGCGAACTCCAGTTGATCAAGATATTGGTGGTACAAATGGTGTCCCCGTTCGGGATCGAACAGCGCACTCGGCACGTCCACCCACACGCTGCGATACTTGTCCTTGAAATCGTCCGGCAAATCCGGGTACGGCATTAAATGGAACCAGTGAAAACGCATGAAGCATCTCTTTCCGTTGGGAGTCTGCAGCCTCGGCGGCCCGCGCCGCGTAGGTATTACCGAGCGGCAGGTATACACGTGTTTTGTTGTCAATACAAGGGCCGGGTCAGACCCTATTTCTATGTTCTGGCTGGCGTTTGGAGGCGTCATTTTTCGTTCCTTCTCCGTTGGGGTAACATGACATCATGCTGATCGAATTCGACGCGGCAAAGCGCGAGGTGACGCTTGAGGTCAGAGGACTGGACATGGCCCGGGCCGACGAGGTATTCGCGGGCACTACGTTGACTGTTGAGGATGACCGGCGGGACTACGGCGAGGAGCGCTTTTATCACCATCGGGTTTCTCGATGACGCAATGGTGGTTCTCGTATGGACTCCTCGCGGGCGCGCCGCGCGTCGTGTCATCAGCATGAGGAAAGCCAATGAACGAGAACGAAGGCTCTACGCCCCGAGATTTTGATCCAGACACCGCACCGGATCTTTCCGGGGATGACTGGCCGGAGAAGTTCGCCAAGGCGACGGTTCGTCGCGGCCGTCCGTCGGTGTCCATCCGGAAAGTGTCAACCACGGTCCGTCTGCCGCAGGACGTGGTCGATCATTTCAAGGCCGGCGGTCGCGGATGGCAGACGCGAGTCGAAGCAGCCCTGCGGGAGTGGATTAGCAAACAGGACACCGCGTAAACACGAACAGGGGTTTGACAGGCAGCGTTGTCTATACCCCGACCGCGTTTTCCAATGGCGGATGGTCTGAAGGATAACAGGATGTCGATAGAGCCCGGTACGTTTGTCCGTTTGATCACCGATCCAAGCCGATCAGGCGTGATACAGCCCGGCGAGAAGACAACAGCCGGCATGCGGATGGTATCGGTCCGGTTCGCAAATGGCGCCGTGTCTTGGTTGCCGGCGGATAACCTGGAACCAGTGCCTGAGGCGCCACCGGATTTGGCCGAGTGCTTTGCAGAAGGCCGGTTTGTCGCTCCCGATTGGTTGCGGCGCGTGCTAACGCGCATCCGCGTTACCGGACGCCTCAGAGATGTTGTTTATAGCATGGAGGCTACGGAAACAGACTTCTATGCTCACCAATTCAAGCCGGTTCTCAAATTACTCAAGTCCCCAACGGACGCCCTGTTGATCGCAGATGAGGTTGGGCTGGGTAAGACAATCGAAGCTGGTCTGATCTGGACCGAGCTGCGAGCACGGCTAGAGTGCAACCGCTTACTAGTAGCTATTCAACATCATACACAGGCATGATAAGTTGCCTCTCAGCAAGCTGCGGCCCTAGCTGGGAGGGATGATTGTGAAGAAGCTCTATGTGGTCCGTTTGAGTGAAGAAGAACGGTCCGAATTGACGAAACTGGTCAAGACCGGACGGGCGCCTGCCTACCGTCGGCGCCATGCAGAGATCCTGTTGCAAGCCGATCAGGGACAACACGGTCCTGCGCTGCATGATCGGCAGATCGTCGACAAGCTTGACGTCGCCCGCCAGACGGTCGAAAAGGTGCGCAAACGCTGTGTCGAGGAAGGGCTGGAAGCGGCGTTAGGACGCCGCCAGCGCAGCCGTGATCGCGCCCCGGTGCTCGATGGCGAAGGCGAGGCGCAACTGGTCGCCATCGCCTGTAGCGAACCGCCGGATGGACGAGCACGGTGGACCTTGCATCTGCTGGTCGATGAGTTGAAGCGCCGCAAGATCGTGCACACGATATCCCACGAGACGGTGCGCAAGGTGCTAAAAAAAACGAGATCAAGCCGTGGCGCCAACAGATGTGGTGCATTCCGCCCCAGCAGGACGCCGCCTTCGTGTGCGCGATGGAGCAAGTCCTAGGGGTGTACACCCGCCCGTATGATTCGGCCCACCCGGTGATCTGCATGGATGAGACGACCAAGCAGTGCACGCGCGAGGTGCGTGCGCCGCTGCCGGCGCTCCCTGGACACCCAGCCCGTTACGATGCCGAGTACGAGCGTAACGGGGTGGGTCATCTGCTGATTTACTACGCGCCCTTTGACGACTGGCGCCGGACCGACGTGGCGACCGATCATACCGCCTCGACGTGGGCTGAAGGCGT